TCTTGACGAAATAGAGGCAATAAGTTTTCGGCCTTTTTCATACAAAAACGACATATTTTGTCAAAACTGACTGTCATCTTTGTGTGTTATTATAAAACATACGAAGAATTACTGAGAGAACTTTCTACTTTCAATCAACATAACCCATTTTGTCAAACCCATTATTTAATCACGAATGCCGGAAGTCATAATAAGACAAAATGTCCCTATAAGTCAACTAATTTCCCGCAAGCAGGGCAGGACTTGATGTCAGGCCCTAACCTATTTCAAGTTTAATTGGCCCTAAACAATGTAAACTTTTAGAGAGAAGCCCCAAAAATTCAAATATAAAAGAATATTATCCTGACTAAAGGAAGCATTAAAAATAAACATGAAATTGAATGGATGATTTATGGGAATTTATGATAAATCCAAAAAAATATATAGCTTACTTTAATAGTAATTTGAACAGGAATAGTCATCAAAGAAATTGGGAATCACAGTGTAATATACACAAAACAGGAAATCATGAAATTTACAACAATACACAAATGCAGCTGCTTAGCCATTGGTTTATTTCCCCTTGGTAACAACTGCATGTTCAGGAAAAAAAGTTTCACATTAATTTCTAAGCAATATACAAAAAGCTGTTACACAAATCCAAAAAATATATATATGGGCTTATTTTATTTAAAATTTGTACCTGAAGCGTTATCAAAGAAACATAGTCCTAGACAGACTCAACAGAAGACTTATTAAATACTGTAATAAATCATATTAGAAGCAGATTATTAAGTCATGATTTTCTTTTCTCTTCGTCATGTGTGCTGTTCAAATGATATTTCAAATGTTCCCTCCTTACAAAACCCTTGCCACAATACTGACATGAAAAAGGCCTTTTACCAGAATGAGATGATAAGTGATCTTTCAAACGATCTTTTCTAGCAAATGTCTTACCACATTCTGTGCACATAAAAGGTTTATTATCTGTGTGTGTTGTTATGTGAACTTTGAGTTCTGAGCTCCTTGCAAAGCCTTTACCACATGATGGACACAGATGGGGTCTGTGTCCAGTGTGCGTCAACATATGCTTCTGTAGGCCATCCTTACGTCCAAATGCCTTGCCACATTCTGAACAGCTGAAGGGCCTCTCACCTGTGTGGCAAACTAAATGCATCTGCAAATGTCTCATCCTTACAAATCTCTTCCCACACATCACACAAGAGTGTGGCCGCTCCCCCACATGAGTTTTAAGATGAGTTGCTAAATTGCTTCTTTGTGTAAAACATGATCCACATTCTTCACATGAGTAAGGTTTTTCTCCTGTATGGAGCAACAAATGGGTCTTCATGTAGCTTTTATGAGAAAATCTCTTCCCACATATAGGACAAGCATGTGGACGCTCACCTGTATGAACTATCATGTGACGTTTAAGATTTCGTCTAATGTGAAAGAGTCGTCCACAGACATCACATACAAACTTCATAGCATTTGTTTCTGAAAGGTCTGTATGAGATTTCATGTGTCGTTTCAACTCTGTGATTAATGGAAAACTCTCATCACATTCTTTGCAGGAATATGGTTTCCCCCTCGTGTGTGTTTTATGATGTATTTGTAACGTGTGCTTTAATGTGCACTGCTTCCCACAAATATCACATGAGAATGGCTTAATTCCTCTGTGTGTTAAATTATGACGATTTAGATTTGTTTTATATCTAAAATGTTTTCCACACTCCCTACATGTATGTTTCCATTTTGATGACTTACTATGACATAAAGCTTTTCTATTGTGGCTCAAAGGAGAAACATGAGTTTTCCTTGATAGAGTTTCATCCAATGGATCAGCATCATCGAGCTGTTGAACTTTAATTTCGCCAGAATTATCTGCTTCCTTGTTGAAAATATTAAGGAGTGGAATATTGCTAGCCCTACTTCTACTGATGCCATCATGTATCCTGGAAATATATAAATCACATAGTAGTAGTACAGGTATGCCATAATTATCTGATGTTTTTGAAATACAATAAGACAATATTTAATTTATAAAAATTGTGTTACAGAACTCAATTGAGCACTTCAGTCTGCTCTCTTGTGTTGAAATTAGAGTAGCGTTAGCATAAAGAGACAACAGTTTCATGCCCTTGCCTCTGAGACCTATATAACAAATATGCTGCTCTGATTCTTTATCTATTTGGAATATCTTTTAGCATTCATCAAAACAGAACTGTGTCACCTTGCAACACATTAAATACCTGGGTTTCAAACCTTTTAAGAAACTGGTTAACAATTAAAAAACAACCTCTCAAGTAAATGCCTTCCAGCTTGTTTGCCAGAAAACATTAAAAGAATGAGAGCCGCAGTGAATACCACAGAATTTTAGTGTGCAATGTACCTCTTGATTCACTTCATAATATCCTGGTATCCACAATTTGATGCCACATAAACTTAGTATTTGACACAAATAACCCAAGACTCAACAAAATCCCAATTTTTGCTCTGAAGTTACAATTTGCTCCTGTCTTTGAAAATTATTTCTGGTAGGTACTGTGAGTTTTAAACTATGCAGCAAACATATAAAGCTAGATGAACACAGTACATTCCAGAGAAGAAAATAGGTAAGAAGAGAGAGAGAGAGAGAGAGAGAGAGAGAGAGAGAGAGAGAGGGAACATGACAAGGTATGAAATGACATGAGTGGGGAGAGGAGAAAAGAACTTAAGTGCTCAAACAGAAGTGAATGGAGAAAACTGAGACATGTAGATACTTACTCATCTTCATATTCATTGTAAAATTCTATATTGTTGTCTTCAATAGTAATCTCATCTTCAGATTCCTCCTTCACGGATGCCACATCACAATTCTCATCTTGCAACTAAAAAGATAAAAACTCAGTTTACAGTCTTAGTACCACACTTGGGCTGCCCCAGAATTCTGAATTTATTATTGTAGTGGTTTCAGGCATTCCATATTTTTGTAAACTTCATAATCTCTCTCAAATTAAGTTCTGGTTATTCTTATTACATTATAAATTGACACCATTCAGCATTAGTAAATATACACAGAATGAATGGGTTAGGAACACAATCAAGAATGGTGAGTTTATAAGAAATGGTAAAGATAAAAGTAAACTTGTTCCTGATGTTTAACTAAGCACCACACTAGGCAGTGTTACAGTGGAATGGAGATATAAATCCATGCATTTTTAATTGCATCACTAGAGGTGAGAGTTAGCTTTACACCCAGCCACCTTATCCCTGGCACCCATCTGATACGAGTCATCTACATTTCAATGTACATAAGTGAGCTCTTATTTCACTTGTCACTATATAACCTTTGTTATTAATAACCCATAATTAAGTAATCCAAACATATGCAAAGAAGATATGACAAATGAAGATTCATATGCTCTGTGGCAGAAGGAATTAAACACAATTACCTGTGTCTGTTGGAAACTGATCAGTTGTCTGAGTGTTGCATCACTAGATTCACACTGCAACTTGAAGCTGTAGCTTGTGTTCACTTGTTGCACACACCGAGGACATACTTGGGATGGTAGACCATCATTAACACTCAACTGTACATTAAACCAAATAATGGGACAAGGTACATGCTTAAAGCTCTCACTCAGGCATTCCTTAAACTCCCATCTCAACTTATCGACATTTTAAAAAGTGGCCTTATTTCCACACCAAAAATGTACATACATTCATACATTACCTTATTAGATTTGACAAATTTACACTACAATAACTGTCAATATACTACACAAATCTAAACACAATCTGCAATAAATTAGAACTAAAACTACTAGTGGCATCTCCTCCACACTAAAGATAATATTATACAGCAATGAGTCCCTTCCTTGCATCAAAACACTATCTCTCCATACTACATGTGTTCCCATAACTTCTACATTGAAATAAATACAAATAAAATTGTTTGCTTCTGAAAAAATGCCAGTTGATACTCAATGAACTAACGAAACTAAAACAAACAAAAAACAATAAAGCCTAACAACTATCATTTATAAAAAGCTACTTCAAATACTAACCTTCAGTATGGGAACAAGCGTCATTAACCTATCAGGAAGAGTGTCATCTTGTATAAAAAGGGGAAACAATTGTGTGTTTTCTACCATACACAATCGACATATTTTGTTAAAGTTGAGAGGCATTGTTATACCTCGTACGTTTTAACCTCTCTTTTTATATATACTTCACACATACTATTCTCCTTGCCTTATGTTGAAAACTTTAACATCTGACAAACCAACTAAACTGCAATATTCATGAGTTTACAATATATAAAAAGATATAAATTTTTAAAAAATCTTTCTGTCATTTATTACAGTTCTATATATTAATTTTCCTCCCTACTCAATTCCAAACTTAACCTCACTTTTACCCAAATTGTACTGACGCTGTGTAAGAAATAGTAACCTAAATAATTATCATGTTTAATTGCGGATATTAACTTCTAACATAACCTTGGTACGAATAATTATACCAATTATTCCTCTATTTTAATATTTACATCAAATAAAATATGAACTCAAAAAGATGTTGAAAACAATTGACAATCAATTTCCACTACTTCCCAATTGGATCTATGAATTTCCCTTCTGTAATGACATTTCTCTAGTTACACACCAGCACTAAAGAAATTTAATGTTTGTGTTGGTTGACACCAATAATTTTAATTTGTAATTATAGTAATACAACAACGAGGGAGACAGGAATGTTGAGATTAATATTGACCATCAACATCAGTATTAATCAAGCATTTGCTTCAAAAGTACTGCAGACATTTGGTAGGATTTGAGGTTCTCATGGCTTGTAAGATGGCAGTGTTCTAGAAGGGATTCGCAAGATTGTAATTTTGAGTGGTGGTGGTGGTAGTAGTTACAGCAGGACTGTAATTGAGGGTTATGGTAACAATAATTACTACTAAAATATATTAAAATTGTCCGTCAATCACAGTAAAGTAATATAAGATAATTAAATGGTTAAAATATTATCCTTTGTTCCGTATCGAGTACTCGATTTACATATGGAACATTCTGGACATGTTTCGGCTTTCATAGAGCCGTCATCAGGTGTATGTTATAAACTCTTAATTCAATTACTAATTTTTAATTTTCGTATCATTTCTTCAATTTTTCACATTGTATCAACATTTGTTGTTGTATTATATATCATTGATACAATCGTATTGTCGGAGTGATGTTAATGCTGCGTATATTGGTCAGAGAAGTAATATCGAAGTTGTAAGAGGAGAGATCAGATGTACATCGTATCGGAGCGAGGTTGGTTATTGGTTATAGAATCAATTTTAATATATTTTAATAATATTTTTAAATAAAATCACAATATGACGCACCTACAATATCTTAATATTTACTACACTAAAAACAGGAAAGTGAAGATTTCCCAAGCACATATATTTGTTACATTAATAGAACCTCCTTTCCATTATGTTTTATCAAAACACATTTCTAATAAATGACAGCTACAAAGTGTGAAATGTTAGAATTAAGAAAAATACAATTTATAATTTACTTTATTAACACATTATAAACAAGTAAACAAAATTGTCACATAAACATTAAATTAATATGATCATTAATCTTACTTTTCCTTTAAACTGAAAACAATACATAAATAATTTTTGAGGATTTTCTTCCACAGTAACCTCACATGACATTTAAAGTAATACTATAAAGCTAGAATGAAATCCATTATTAACAAAATCTATTCTTGAACAATTCCTATGTTCTTACAGAACATGGTGTAATCAATAATACATATTAAAGTGAGATGTACAGTTCATACAGTATGCTGCACTTCTCAAACACCTCAATATTTTTAAAGCTAAAAGACACTATTCTTTTTGGGTTGTTGCACCGTTTAGTATGGTAGACGTTGAGGTCAAAATGCCTCCGTCAGCAGCGCGATGAATGCCCTGATGATGGAGGCAGTATGAACTCTGAAGCGTTGGTAAACATCTACTGTACTACATGGCGCAACAACCCAGAAGACAGAAATCTTCATACTCATCGCCCTGATGACGGAGGCAGTAGGACCTCTGAAACGTTGTTAAACATCTACCAGACTACACAGCACAAAAACCTTCATTTGCATTTGGAGTTGGCTAATTTGCAGAAACACAACCAATATTATACAAAAATAGAGCTTACTACAACGTGGTACATCATCATCAAACATTCAGAAACAGCCTTCAGAACCTGAGCTGAAGATATTTATGCTTTAGAAGTCTGCTTCATCTGGCTTGAGACCTACTAGAGTCTCACTTTTCTCCCACAGCTTCTTGGCTAGACCCTCATCCAGTGCTAATTTTGATGGAGCCGCCTCCTAGCAAACAAGAGGAATATTATTTTTAACTTACATGGAATGGGAATGGAGGGATAAAATCTGCAAAAAAAGTTACGATTATTTGTGCTGAAGTCTCTGTTCGGAATATTTCATAGTCCAATAAAACAATAATGAAACAGAGGAACAAGCAAATAATTTAATTACTTGTAATTAGAACCAAATACTATTGTGATTACTGAAATATCGACGGCTGAAATGCTTGACAGAAAAAGAGGCAGAAAAAAAGGAATTCACAAACTGCAACATTCAGTACTGTATCTGCCTACATCTTATGATAAGCCTCTATCCATTATTCTCCATCCTCTTGTGACTGCTCCGTCTGTATCGCTGTCTAATATTTCCCTACTGTAGTTTTCATATTTTCCAAACCTTGCCTCTGCATCCTTATTTTCAACAACTTATCTTGTGGTATTCGTATGTTCAGATCTAACTTCACACTCTGCTTTCAGCTCCTGTTCCTCCTCCACCATTTTCTAATTCTTGGTAAATATTTCATATATTATGCAAGTTTTAATGTACCTTGCAGTCTAGAAAGTATTTGCCAGAAACTCCTTCCACATCTTCAGAAACTGCTAGATAGATGGAGGTTTGGGCACCTTCACGGGGATCCTAGAATTAAAATATCTTAGTAGAAGAGACATGATTACGTTATGTATCAGTCTGTTTTACCGATAAAAAAGGGAAAGAACAATATCAATGCAAAGAAAAGTCGTAATCAATAGACTTACACCAGTTTCTGTAATGACTATGTTCTTAAGAACAATATTTAACGCTACAAATACAAAGAATGCAATTTTATTTTGTGTTGCTGGCACACGGACCTAGGTCCTAGTCTGTGACTTCAGTGACACGTTCACAAAACCCATGTCAGAATGGGAAGAGCTAGTCTTATATATAACATGAACTTACTTTACAAAACCAACGAAGAATAAACTTTAGGGCAGCACCGAGAAATGGTCCAAAATTTCTCCAGATGTCACTAGCTACAAGACCAGGATGAAGGCTATTCACTGTTACACCTACAACAACAACAACAACAACAACATTTCAAATGAGGACTTGAGGTCAAGTTTTATTTAATCAAGTATCTCAGACTCCACAGCAGTGGTCACCAACCTTTTTGTGTCTACGGGCACATTTGAGAGTTTATGAGATCGTGGCTGGCACCAACCAATTAACAAAGCCAAATTTTCTTTTCTCTGTTTAATGATACGAGAAACCATGCAATCAAAAATACGTAGTTTTGCAAGTACAATTATTATTACTCAAGTGGGAAGTTAGTGTGATGTTTGGCACTGCATTTCATCGGCCAGTTTTTCAAATTTGGGAGTGTAGGATGATGTTGCTGCTC